TTTAGGTAAATAAACGAACGGGGTTCGGGGAGGGAGCCCACTTCGTGATGCTTGACTTCTGCTCCTGAGAACATCAGAACAGTAGTGGGCCCTGATTGGCCACAGGTTTTAACTTGTTAAAGCCTTAGGGGACCCTTGGGGAGCAAGGTGAAGTCTTCCTCAGCAGCTCCTGCCCTCACTCCCACGGGCCAGGACCAGTGCCCACGCATGCACCTGTTCCAATATCCTGCCCCATCAGAACACTGGAAAAGGCAAGGAGTCCTAACAAGGGCTTAAGAAGGCCGAGACAGGGTAAAACTGAAGGGAAAGAAAGAGAAGGGCGAGGGGGGGAGGGGCGGGAGGGGGGAGGGGGGAAGGGTAGGAGGGGGGAGGGGGAGAAGGAGGAAGGAGGCAGCCAGCAGGCAAGTGCAGGGGTTTTTACTGGGCACCATCATCTTCCTCCCCTGACATCTAGAAGTGCCACAATTCCAGAAACGTGTTCCAAGTCCTCTCGGGACTTTGATTTATAAAGATTTACCCCCTTCCCATCTCTAAGCTGTTAGCAGAAAATGCTGACTGGCTGCAGCCAAGAATTTCTCATCAATGCTCTTTGATTGTATTTTGCAAACAAAATGCCTGTTGCTTGGTAACATTTCACTTGAGCCTGACCTTCCCCGAAAGTTATTGCTATCAGATTCGATTTACACTGTCCCCCTGTGATTACTGTAATCTTTTAAACTCGGGAGTTCATCCATCAGGGAAAAGAAAAGTTGGCCGTGTAAGTCGAGAGAACGGCTACTGGCCAGATTTATAACATCAAGGAATGTGTTTCGGGGGCGGGGGAGCCACTTTCCAGGGGAGGGCTGGGGGAGGGCAAAGGAACTGGTTTCTGCCCGCGAGTTGCTCAGACCCACAAGATGGACACCAGCGCCTCCCGCACGCAGGTCCAGGGCAGCTGCGGCTGCGGGGGAGACCAGAATGCGGGGCACGCACCGCCGACTCCGTGCCCGGAGCCTCCCTGCGCCGCTGGCACTGGAACCGGGCACAGAAGGCCCGGACTAAGGGTTCCTCCATTAAAACAGCAGAATGCCTCGCTAAATTTGGAACTTTTAAACAAATCAAGACTTTTTTAGTATCAGTATGCGCCACACCGCAGTCAGCAAAATTCAGCAAGTGTGTGTTTGAGTTTTGTTAATTCTGGCAGCTCACTCCGGGGGCGGCGGGAGGGTGGAGAGAGGACCCAAGGTAGCGGCGGTCCACGCCTGAAGGTGGAAAAGCCTTGAGGAGGCCGGCGTCTGGCTCTCCCGGGCCGCAAGCTGGCTGCTCGCCCATGGCACCGCGTGTGGCACCGTGGCCTCGCCGCCAGACCCGAGCGGAGCGGGCTGCAGACCCGCTGCAGACCCGCTTCGGGAGTCGGTGCGCCCGGCGCGCGTGCGGTGCAGCGGCGGGAAGCTGCCCGCTCCATCCCCACCGCCGCCTCTCCTCCCGCTCCCGGCCCACCGGGACCCAGCGACCACCACAGACAAGGCCCCTCTCGCCCCATCCCTGGCACCCAGCGCCTGGCTTTAGGGTGAGGTTTGGAAGGGACCAGCAGTGCTGGTAGTAGGCCTCTTCCCTTTGATGTGTCTGGTTTGGTGTTTTGGTTTTGCTTTAGAAAGTATAATTCGACCAAGCTAAGCTGACGCCCGCAAGCCAATCTGTCTTAACACCAGACCCCATTTTTTCAGTTCCGAGGTACGGTTGATAATTTTACTTCTAATCTAGTCACAGAGTTCTCCATACCGGACCAGCACTTCTGTTCCCCTAATGCCTCTTCTACTCACAGGTGCTCCTCTTTGAAAAAATAATAATAATTAACTCAAATGCACTTAAAAATAAGTAGACGAGGCAAGATTCAGTGAACGTGGGGCTCTTCCATCACTAACCAGCCCGATTTTTAATTTCCTTTTCCTTTGAAAAACATTAAGAACTATTTACCCTCATATTTACTTGGATGGTGGATAAAGGCTTAGAGGGGAGCCTAGGGTGCCGGCCTCGTCTCTCCGTGCACCCTCTGCAAAGCTGGGCTTCGGGAAGGGAGCCACAGCACACACAGGAATGTAACTTCAGCCGCTCTCCTTGGCAGTGACCCCTAACTTCTCTCAGCCCTGGAGCAGCCGTCTGACAGGCCTGCTTGGCTGTTTGAAACTGCTGACTTAGGGAAAAAAACCAACAGCCCAGGTGTCCATCAGGCCTCCTGTGCTATTTCCTTCCTTGGTGGGAGAGGGGGTGTGAAAGGATGGGTGGGGGGTAGGCGAAAGAAATTCAACAGTATGCATTAAGAAGCTTAAGACAGAATTTGGGGTTCAGTCAAAATCAGTAATTCTTGGTCAGTCATAGCTGGAATTCAAGGGGCAGGCAAGATCTGCAATCAAAAAAAAGAAGAAGAATACTCCAATCCATAGCAAGAAGTTATAATCATAAAATATAAAATTTTCCTAAAACTAGCCACTTTGTGAGCACGATGTTCAGCATATTTCATCATTTGATTTTAAATAACTCTCACGCTTTTCTAGACTCCGAAGCAGAATTTTTGAAAGAGTTCTTTCAGTTACAAAGCTGACTTTTGGCTTGGCCTTCAGGTGCCACTTCCTTTGGCGGGTGGTTTTTCTCCCATAGCGTCTGATTTGCTGCAGGGGGAGAAGATTCCACGTGCCCCTGGAGCGGAAGAACCTGCCCATAGCTGTGTGCCCATAGCTGTGTGCCCATAGCTGTGTGCCTACAAAAAGACTAATCAAAGCATTCGTTCACTCCCCAGACACACCAAACGAGCTCTAGAATTTTCCAGTAGCTACTGGACGTTCCATAGATCGCTTACTCTTCCTGCTCCTACACCTGTTATGCTTTTTTAACACACCTTATACGTAACACACAAGTACATTCTAAGAACATCTGAAGGAAAGCCACCGGGCACTGTCATCCTTGCTCACATCCCACCTTAAATCCTAATCAGCTTTCTCCTTACAAATGCTGTGTAAGGAGAGATCCTACTTGTAGCTGCTCTGTTCCTCTCCGGCACCCCATAGGGTTGGTTGGTAGTTGGTTTTCTTTTTCTTTTTAAAGAATATGAAATTACCGGGATCCAACAAACGGAAAGTAAAAGTTGTCGAATATATAAAATATATATGTGGTGTGAGTGGCTGGAAATGGGGCCCCCTGATCGCTGGCAGGTGGTTCCCCAAAGTCATCACTCTTCCCCTTTTCCTTGTATGGACCAGGGTTGGTTGTCCTTTGCAATCGCTCAGATTCAGTTTGGAGGGCTTGGGCTACCGGGAGACCAGTCTGGTTTGTCCAGTTGAATGCCTCAGCCTGCTTTATTCTCCTAAGGCCTGTAGCCTTCCCCGGGCTGCAGCTACAATCCACCTCCACCTGCTGGGTGGAGCTCTGGCTCCTGCAGACCACACAGGACAGACAGCCCGACACAGGACAGCCCGGGAGGGGGACCCCTCCTGGAGGAGGGCCACACAACTCCACACAGTCCCATTGCAGGTATGCTGCTGGGTGTGGGAAGGCCACTCTGGCACAGGCTCCTGTCCCAGGCCTGGTGGTAAAGATGGCCAGGGAAACGGGAATTATAAAAATGAAGAGGAGATCTTGGCACGGGGGTCCACTTCTAGAGCTGAAACTAGACACTCAGTGGTGATGTGTTCCAACCCAGGGAAGAAAAAGCAAAAACCAAATCAAAGCAAACCAAAACACGTTCTGGTTCTCTGTTCTCTCTGCCCCTCTTCCTGCCTGACGTCATAAATGTGAAGGGATGACACAGACAAAAGGAACCACGGAGGGGGGCTGGGCATTCCTGTAAACACCCACAAAATCTACATTCAGCATCCTTAAAATTCTGGGACTGCCGTGGACCCAACAAGCCACCCCACCACAAGGGTGCATAGTGCAGGAGTCCCCAGGCCTTGCAGCAGTCCTGTGCCCCAGGTGGCCTCCCTGCAGAAATCAGGGCCAGGGAACTCTGGGGAGCAGGTGGCCAGCGGTGCAGGCAGCCACTCTAGCACACGCGTCACTGTCCCACCTACAGGGGGGCTCTGGAGCCTCCCCACTCCTTGTCCACACCGCCCCCCCCCCCGGGAAAACCGCATTCTTTTTCCTGTTGCACATCTGTCCCAGCCTAAGGCAAATGCCAAGTCCAAGTCCCCTGAACGCCAGGCTCCCTCGAGATGGCAAGGGAGAGGGCACGGGGCGTGTGTGTGTGTGTATGTGGGGTGGGGGAGACGCCTGCCAGGGCCTGCCAGGCTCTGGAGGCCTGGAGGTGAGAGAGAGGCACTCAGTTCACACTCCCTAACACAGCAGAGGAAAGCCATGGCTCTGAGGTCACCGGCTAGCCGCAGCCTGAGCTAGCCGTCCTCACGTCTTGCCTTTACTTATTTCAATCACCAAGAATACAACCTGGAGACTACCCCCACAACGACTAATTTGGTGTACCCCAGATTCTCCTATGGGCGTCAGTTTGAGGAGCCTTGGGACCACCTCCTTATTATTGCCCATCAATGGGGCTTTCCCTACCAAATTATTGGAGACAACAGGCCACTGAGCACCTCTCCAAGGCTACAGGTTGCTTCAAGTTGCACTAAGTGTCCTCGCTGCAGCTCCACGGCCCCTTCCTGACACCTGTTCATTCCAACTGCCCAATATGGGCTGCCTCGAAGACCCAGTCCTAAGGTAGGACCGTGAGCGCCTGGGTTTTAACCAGCTCGCGTTTCCACCTTTCCTCTACTCGCGGATGAGGAATGCACCAGATCCTGACACACACACACACACACACACACATGCACACACGCACTCCCGAGGGCTGATTCCCGGGGGAACTGAGCGAGCGGGGGAGTTCAGAGTTTTTGAACCAGCTTGGCGGCGACAAGCGGGGCAGGTCCCCAAACATTCAACTTCCCCCCCCCCCCCAGCACAGCCACAGCAGGGGACTTGGAAGTTTCCCCCAGCGCGCCGCCAGGTTAGCTCTCGGCCGACGCCCTTACCTGTCTTGCTGAGCTGGGTTTGCATAGGCCCAGGCTGGGGCTCGGTAGCCCAGCGCAGCGCGGCCGCCGCGGCTAACTCTGCGGCCGGGCGCGTTGGCGGCTGGGCCGGCTGCGAGGCCGGTGGCGGCTGCTGCTGCGGAGTGGCGGCAGCGTCCCCAGGAACCGGGGGACCGGGCAGAGCGCGCAGCGAGTCGGGGATGAGGCTCTCCAGGCTCTCGTTGGCCTGCTGCCGCCGTAGGGCCACCTGCGCCGCCATCACCCGCTGCCGCTCGATGATGAGGATGCACTTTTCGCAGGTGCAGTCCTTGAAGCGGCAGTAGCGCTTGTGGCCCTTGAGCCAGGACAAGACGCCGTGGTTGCGGCAGCGCGCGCATTTGGGCGTACGCTGCAAGGGCGCCCGCGGCGGCTGCGACACGGGGCCGCCCATGTACAGGTAGGGGGAGCCGTAGCCGTTCATGCCCCGGCTTCCCGGAAGAGCAGGCTGGCTAGCGGCGCTAGCGGGACAGGGGGCGCCGGACGACGGGGCTGTGAAAGGGCCGGCTCAGGGAGGGCGCAGATTCCCAACCACTGGAGCCCCGGAGACGGCGGCGTGCGTCCCGGGACGCCGTCGCTCCTCCAGTTCCCGCGGCGTTCGCAGCAGCCTCGGCCTCCCCGACTCCGGCTCAGCCAATCGCGACGCCCGCCGCGTCTCCACCGGCGGCTGCTTCGGACGGGAAGCCGGGGACCGGCGCGTCCTCCCCTCGCCGAGGACGCTGCGGCGGCTGCAAGGAGCCGGCAAGAGCTCCGGTTAAGGTCTGAGCCGGTTGGTCTGCAGCTTTGGTGTTCTCGGGGCTGCCCCGGCACCTCCTCCACCCCTCCCCCAACCCCTCCTCGCTCCTCCCGCCATCCCCACCATCCTCCCCTCCACCTCCTCCCGGTCCGTGTCCTCGTGGCACTCCCCACCCCACGCCGTCCGCCTTCCTCGCGGCCCTCACGCTCCCGCGCTTCGCCTTGGCTCTGCCACCTGCAGCTAGGCCACTTTCGCGGGGGGCGCGCGGGGTCCCCTCCTCCAAACCCGCGGCTACCCGAACCTGAGGCTGGAGAGAGCGTGGCGCTCCGGAGCACCGAGATGCACAGGGGGCGGGGGAACGGGAGGACTGCGTGTGTGTGTGTGTGTGTGTGTGTGTGTGTGTGTGTGTGTGTGTGTGTGTGTGTGTGAACGGGGGTGCCAGTAAGTGACTGAGTGAGGTGGCCGTCCTCCTAGGCCCTCTTCTCCCTCCAGCCCTGACCTGGCGGCTCGCGGGGGCCAGGGCCGCAATCATCCTGATTTTTTCGGCCACAGAAAGTCGACTCTGCGGGGACCGGAGCGTCGTGGGTGCGCGCGCGACCTGGAGCGAGCCAGGCCCAAGGGGTTTTTCAACTTGGGCCAAGCCAACCCGTAGCCGCTGGGGAGGGTGGAATTGGGATAATGGGTGGTATTGGTTCCGGAAATTTGGTAATTTTTTTTTTTTTAGATTTCTTTTTATCGCATATTTTATTCGTTACTGAGAATATGAATGCTTTTGGAAATCGGCAGACTCAAGGGTATCCCCTCATTTTTGCTAATGTTTAAAACTTCTTCTTTCCACGTTTTAATTTAAAAAGGTCTCTGTTCTTTTTAAGGGTGGGGGTGGACGGGGGAAGGCGCTGGGTCTGCACTCTCAGAGGCTGGTACCTCCCCAAACTTACGGATAAGATGCCCCTCTCTCAGCCTCTAGACCATCAAAGGCTCAGTGTCTTCCAATTAAAATCCCCTTGAAGCCTGTGATTCAGTTGTGCGTGAGGGATGGGGCATCGATGGGTAGGGAGAGGCACCCTTGCTCAGACGATGGCGTAAAATTCTGGTAAGATACTTGCATGTTTCCAGTCTCCTGTGAGTACCTAGCTTGGGCCTAATGTAGACTACGCCTTCCTACACTGACAACGACAGTTCTCAACGCTTGCAACTCTGTGAAGGGGGACTCATCTCCAGTGGTGTGGGCGACTGGAAGGCTGCAGGGGAACAGAGATGCAAGGCTGGCTCCTGCGGCCGTCACAGAGGGGCAGACAGGCAACCAGGAAATGGCTGTGCTGTAAGGCCAGAAGGAAGGGAGCGAAACCGAAGGGCAGGAGGCAGGAAAGGGCTTGAAAGGATGCGGGGCTGTGAACAACTCCTTCAGGCTCAGCACCAGTCTGCTTTTTCAGAAGTTGGAGCGCTACAGGGAGGCTGATCTGGGCAGGATCCTGGGCAGGCAGCTCTAGCACCCGTATACGCTCGGAAAGGCATCCCCAAAGCCCCTTCCTCCGCCACCTAATCCTTCCCTCCCTCCCATCCTTTGATAGGGAAACAACTCCTAACACAAGAGGGCCCGGAGGAAACATTTTTCCAGAGGCTTCCAAGTGGCCAGCCAGGTAGGCAAAGCTGGGAACTGGAAACTGGCAGCACGTGGAGAGAGGTCGGTAGGACCGGGAATAATCCCCCCAGTTCGGAAACTTTCACACTAAATATCTCCCCGTGTGGACCTGGCATTTTTTTTTTTTTTTTCAAAGCCAGACCTTCTCTGAGCTTTTCTCTCCAAATGATCTGGGAAACGGTAGCATATAGCGAAGCTGAGAGTAAAGAACATTTTACAAAGCAACGTAGCAGAGAAAGTTAGCACCCCTTCTGTGGGAGTATTTCCAGCTCCTTGGGTCACCTAGCCACCCTAACTCATTGCCGCCCAGTCTACATTATTTTGGGCCGGGGCTGGTTTCACTCCAGTGCACATTGGGGGCTGAGAACTAAACACTTATTTGATATAGTGCAGTAATCCTTTTTCTCATATTTGATGGGAATGTTTTCCATATCCCAGTATTTGACAACATCTCCCTATAGGGACAGGTTTGTATTTATGTTGGTAAAATGTCCCCTGCCTCAAAGTCTATTGTAATCCAACACCTGACAACCCCAAGTCCCATTTCTGTTTGCAGAAAAGGTTTATTCAAGCACATAATGGGATCCCAGCAGAAAGCTTTTCAGAACAAGGGGCTATGGTAAACTTCACCACATGAACTCCGTTTCCAGGGCTATTAAGCTTTTAATTGGAAAATAGCAGAGGAAATTTCAAGGTGACTATAACGTGTTGGTAGTTAGCGCTTAGAAGAAAAGCCGGAGCGGACTGAATGTGGAAAACATATGGTCCGAATCAAGTTTAGGAGCGGGGCGATCCGCTTCGGCTAAGTCCTGGCAGCTTCTGTACTGATGGGAAAAATCATCAAAGAAATGGGCAAGAGAAGGGGAGGGTTTACAAGCAAACCTCTCTGGTCGAGACCCACTTGCGCTGTGTGTGCACGCGCGTGCGTGCGTGTTGTCACACCGAGATGAACTGGATAGAATCGGGACAGGTAGAAACAGAGGAGAGATGAAAAGTGGTGTTTGTGGTCCCTGGGCTGAAAAAGCTATAAAATATCCCCGTTTCCAGTTTGGGGGTTTCTCTGCACCCCACCAATCCAAAATTCCGTTGCCTGTCGTCCTGGTACGTACAGGACACATCCACTTTTTTTTTTCTTTTTTTTTTTCCTGTCTTGCTGATTCCCGTGGAGGGGAGGAAGAGCAGGGATCCTGTTTTGCTATCTGTTTTTGCGAAGGTGACACAGGTACGGGCAGGTGGGAGCCCCCGGTGGGCAGGGTTCAGGAGAAAAGGCGCGTTGGGGGCATCTGGCCAGCTGGTGGGGCACCTCAGCAACCGGATTTCCCGAGTTGCCCACAAGGTTTCCAGGGGGATCCGTCAAGCCACCCAAGAGTGCAGGACTGAGGCCTCGTGGGGCTGAGGGGTGCAGAAGCCCCCACGCAGCAGCAGGCGGGTACCAGGCACCCCACCAGGAAGAGAGTCCTTGCTGAAGCCATACCATTGTGGGGACGGAATGAGAAACCAGTCAGGGACAGTGGGTGGGGCGGGGGGGGCCTTTTAGAATAAACTAGAAGATGGGACGGCCTGCGATCCCGCTGGCTGTGCCAGGAGCTGCGGCTCCGTCCTTCGTGTTCTCGAACTTTCCAAGCCAGAAACTGGTTCCCCCCACTCCACCCACCCCCCGGTATTGGAGCGCTGGCAGATTCCTCGCCCCCCCCCAGCGCGGACTCGCCCCCCGCCACCTCGCCTCCTTTGGGGTGTCGCTCCCTGAGCGACTTCCTCAACCCCGCGCTCTCTATCAAAAGAACTAGAAGAGCGCGCGCGTCGCGCTCTCTATGGAAAGGACTAGAAAAGCGCGCGTTGGGCCTCTCTACCTGGGCGCCGGCTGCCCCACCTGACTCTTTCTGGGGGTCCCCATCGGAGCACCCCGGGTGGGACGTCAGCCTAATGGCGCCACGTTTTACAACAAACGGGTTTGCCTTCTTCCTAGGGAGGAATGCGGGGGGCGGGGAAGGCGCACACACACAAAAAAGTAAAAAATAAACAACAGGTCTCTTCCGCCGTCAAATGAGCAGCGCCGACGACTTTGTAAACTCTTTCATCTGTTATTTTGGGGGGGAGGGGAAGGCCAAGGAAATCGTTCTAGGAAATTTGAGCAGCATGGCAGGGGCAAAGGGAATGTCTCTTCATGTTTGGACTCTCCGGGCTCAGGGGTGCTTTTCTTCATCCCTCCCCCCCACCCCCAAAAAAACAACCACCCAGAACAAGCCGTTCTGTCAGAAAGCTCGTCTCTCCCGCCGCCCGCCCCGTTTGGCGGTTCCCTAAACAAAAGCCGCCCGGCCGCGGCTCACGGAGCCAGGGCGTGAGGTGGGGGAAAAAAACACAGCGGGCTCCCGGAGGGACGCCGAACGGTCCTTGCTGCGAGACTCCGGGGCAATGGGCACACACTCGAGGCCTGGAGACCGGGGACGGGAGCCAGGCGGCGAGAAAAAGCCTTCGAGAAGGCCCGGACGGGAACGCCGCGGAAGCTCTCCTCAGCGCGGCGGCCTCGTGGGGGCGGGGCGACGTCGGCGTGCCCCGGCCCCGCCCCCGCTCCGCGGCCTCGGCTTTTTA